CCGCGACCCCACCAACCCCCGACTCCTGGCGTTTCTTCAGCCGTGCGTTCTCTTCGGCCAGCTCTGCAAGCCTGCAGTCGAGCTGCAGGATCTCGGCAGCAAGCTTATGCGATGGCAACGAGGACAGGGATGCGTGATCACGCGGACCTGTCACGGGACTCTTGCCCGCGACCTCACCACTCGGGCCCGTGCTTCCAGCACCGGGGGCCAAGTGCTGCGCGAGGTGCTTGATGCTCTTGCCGGATGTAGTGGGCCTGCTGGATGCCGCGGCCGCTACCACATGTGCCTCCGCCTCCTCCTCGCTCGACTCCTCCCCCTCACGCGCAACAGCGAGGTCAGCCTCATCGCGGGTTGCACCCTTTGTCGCGGTATCCTCGGCCCCGTCGTCATCAGCGTGGACCACCGTCCCCCCCCGAGCACCTCCGCGGTTCGAAACACCAGCGGCACCTGTGAGAGCGAGAACACCATGGTCAGCAACCTGCGCACCCGTAGCCACTTTCTGCACCTTCCCCGTTTCAGCCCCTTCAGCCTCACCGCCGTGCATGGGTCGCGTCATATCCACGCTCAAGTTGAACGCGAGCTCTTCGGCGGTTTGGTACGCCTCATGCCGCAGTGCATTCAGAGTCTTCGCGGTTGGCCTCGAGAATTGCGGCCCGGATCCACTGGCAGCGACCGCGTCCAACTGGGCAATGATCTTGTCGAACGCGAACAGACAAGCGATGTTGCCGCATGAGTCGCGGAATGACGTCGCGTCCTGGAAAACATTTCATGGGGTTTGTTAGCACCACTGCAACTATTGGCGGTCATCGAGAACACGTACACAACACAGACGTACCAGATCCAACAGACGCTCGGGATCCTTAAGCAGGCGGGAGCGGGTGCACTGAATGGAGCCGCGCGCAAAATCCTCATCGACGCGACCCTAAAACCACCTGCCCCAAAGCACATACATATCCACGCGAGCGCACGGTTAGCGACATGAGCCCCGGAGCGGAAATGAACGTGGTACTGATGATAAACCAGTACGCGGTACTCACTCCACAATCGCATCAGCCGCGGTGACGTGTTCCGCACCACCAGTGGGAATAGCAACGCGAACGAACCGCGTGTTCCACTCGTCACCGTCAAGCGACAAGTGGTCGGGGTGTAGCATAATGAGCATGCTCGCGTTCGAGCTCTTCTTGTCGACCAGGTCCCTGAACGTGCCATTGACGACCGCGTTAAACCACTTAAACGAGTGCAATCCCTGCACAAGTGAACACTCCCAATGGAAACTCACTCGGACCAGATGCAGAAAACCACCAGGCTGCACTCCATCAAACCGCCAAATGCATGGACCGCTTCATCCCGACCCGCGACTATGTCCGCGACAACACCGCTCGTCACTATTCGGACGTGCTCATGCACCTCCTTCTCCAGATACCTCCGGACAATCACGCTGTGCGGGACGGTGTAAAACAAGGCGGGGAAAAGCTCAAACATTAACAGCGCGACCCAAAAGCACAGCGGAGTTATGCCGCGGCCTGCACTGCCTACGAGTAACTACCGCTGACATGTCGCGAACAGCCTAAACACCGCGACCATAAACAACGCGTGCATATAAGAGTCAGGGAATTGAACGCATGGATCTCACCCGGTGACAAAGTCGAACAGACGGGCCGTGAGAGGATGCTTATCCTCTGCGAGCAGCCTCCACTGTTCGGGGGGGAGATCCATCGTGGCTCCCGCAACAGAGATGATGGCCGGACAGGAGGCGGCCTCCTTCGACCCAGCTCTAAGCGCCTTCATTTCGCGGCTCATTACTGGTACGACCGCAAAAGCACGACCAAAGGACGAAACGTACGCGACACAGTGCTCGCGTGAATCTAGGACGAACGGTTCGCGAAACTGTGCTCGCGGCAGAAAATATGAGCTACGCTAGACGCTACCAAGCGCGAACGCGGCCAAGCAGAGTCTCTGCTAGCACTAGGCGACGAGGACCTCTACGTGGAACGGGCGAGCAGGAAGAGAACAAGATGTGAAGACGGAGAACGAAAATGAGCACCAGGTGCCCGTACCGAGAACCTAAGAGTGGGCCGATATGGAAACAAGAGACGGCACTCGCGGTCGCACTGCGCGGGCCTCTCACCCTACGGGGAGGTTCCGCAACATGCACGCTTGTGCATCCAACGTCCGCCACGTTGCACACCATCTGCGAGCCCCGTTCGGAGCGGGCTGCCAACTCCCGCGGAGAGATAATTTTCCTCGTCGCGACCGCCGAGGTCCGAATTAGGGTCACCCAAATTAACAGTACACTCCGTTATATTACACGTAAACTCGCAACTGAATGTTTCCCCGATGCATTAGAGAGATTCATAAAGTAAAATTTAATATTTATTTTTTTCGTTTGATCTTTCCGTTTGATCTTTCGAATGGCATACACTACGCTCCGTACATTTAATCTTTCCGCGAACGATTTTCCGTGAGGGTCCTGCGAGCATTCCGACGCTCGTAAACGACGGCGATTGGCCGGCTCCATTTCGTGCAGCACGGAGATGGCGTAAACCGGCTCCCATTGGCCGAATCCGTTTCGGCCAGCCCGAACTGCCATTCGCACGCGCGGATTCGCATGCGAAATGCTTCGCGAGGGTTCTTCCGAGGGACGGACCAGTCGGAAACGGCTCCGATTGGCCGGATCCGTCTCGGCGCGCCGGGGTTCGGCCCTCGCCCTCGGATTGGAGAGCGAGGGGTTTCGCGAGGGGTTTCGCGAGCCAGGGCTGGGCCCGGGGTTGGGACCACGCTGCGTGGCGCTGGCGTGGCTGGGACCACCCCGCCAGCCTGCTCCGCCGCCCGGATCTCGCTAGGGACCCGCATGCGGGCGGGGCACTCCCTCTCGCGTGCCGGTTCCCAGCTGGGGGCCGCGACAGCCCTTGCATCCACGTGCGGCCCTGGTGGGAACCCGTTTCCACCAGGGGGGGGCCCTGGTGGGAACCGACCCACCAGGGCCCGGACGGACTGTGGCGAACCTGGCGAAGTGTGGATGGCTGTGAAGATTGTGATCGAGGCCCTGTTCTGTTGCCGCACCACTTGGTCCGTACCCCTCCGCACTGAACCAGATTGATGCTTCTTCCGGGGTTCCACCGGAGATCCTGCGAGCTTTATTTATGAGGGCGTATTTCTTGATTCTAGGCTCGGGAAACTGAACCTCTTCCCGGACCTAACGAGTTCAGTGCAGTCCATCCCCCACTCCCAGGCAAAATGGGTGCGGGGCTGGTGCGGGCCTGGTTCAGGGTCAGAGGGGGGATCAAGGCACCGCATCAAGTGGTGCGGGGCAGGGAAAAATGTTTTTCGTTGTCCTGGTTGGCTCCTTTGCTTTCAGGCCATCCAACCATCCAATTGCCATCGCAAGAGAAGGTTTCACGGTCTGGAAAGAAAACAAAAATACTTGCTGCCACTTTCATCGCCACTACAACAACTTTCGCCAACCAATCACTGCCCAGGACTACTTGTGCTGTCGCTACTTGTGCAATTGCGCAGAGTGTGGCAGGAGGCTGCGTCGCACCAACCAGGGGTCTGTTGATTCGCGGAAGACTCATGCCGCATCATGTGATGCGGTGCTGTCCTGTCCGCCCACGATTTGGCCGATGGGCAACAGAACAGGGCCCGAGAGTGCTTGCGAGAGTTTCTACGATGTGCTGCCTTTGGCGAAAACGAACCCTTGTTGGCGAATTCCGCATGACCTTTCATTCCCGCTAACCCCACCCCAGGATTCGTGTGTTCCAGTCTCAACGGGGAGCCTCGAGGAAGCCTCGGAAGGCGCAGAAGAGGCTAACACTTCCCGCCACAAACTCGCTAATCACAGACCCTGGTTTTGTTTGTTACCAGCCTCGAGATTCGAAATGCCGAAAGTCCGATCAGCTCGGCGCGCATTAGGTTTTCCAAGGCTTTTCTTGCCGAGCTATGGCACCTCATTTTTGTTTGCATCCTATCGTAGAATGGAGTGGATCAGCCCGTCGAATATGTGGTATTCGAGGCTTACGGAACTGCCAGTCCACATTCTTGCGGATTCCTCGTATCCTAGTAGGCCCGTTGCACGAGCCGCCTGTTCTTCCCGTAGTGGTCCAAGGCTGTTCGTAATGCGCCAGTGACTGTGACAGTGCAACCCACCTACCCTCGAGCCGCCCACAAAGACTTCTTTTCTTCCCCGTCACGAATTATTGAGTCTGCTCGAATTTCCTGTTCCCGTGTTAGCGTATCCGTCAAATTCGCAGCTGATGACGAGCGCGGATGGGTAAACTGGCGGCTGTACCTTTCCCAGCACATTGCGAACGGTATAGCGAACGGAGCTGTAGAGACCTCACCGGATTCGGCCTTAATCTTCAATCGAAAAGCGAATCTGAGGGTTCAAAACTCGGTAGAAGGTTTAGGAAAACGACTGGAACTACGGAACCCTAGTTGCGGATCTTGCGACTAAAGAAACATTTTCCACACGCAGTAGCTTTAGAAAAGCGATTTTGAGTGTTATGCTACTAGTGGTGGCTCGGCGATTGATGGTGAAGCCACCGGTTCTTGCGAAATCCGATCAGCCACGCGAAGTTGGCGAGATAATCGAAGCTGTGGAAGCACAATAGGAGAAGGATATGGATGTTTAAATGACATAGAGAGATGAGAAAATTGAGGGAGAAGAACGGCGAAATCAGGAAGCGCTGCGGCAGCGGCGAGGTGACGGGCGGGGACCCCGCCAAGCAGCGCAAGCGGCGGTGGCGGCGGCAGTGGCGAGCAGGGTGGGGAGGGAGAGAAAGTGGTGAAAGGGGGGGGACTGCTGATGAGGCAGGGAGGAGGGGGAGAAAGTGATGGGCTGGCGGAGGCCATGAAGAACTCGTTTGGCGCTACCATTGATGGCGGGGTGCGGTTGACACGCGGGATGTCGCCACGGTGAGCCGCTGTGGGGTGGGGGCAGGTGGAAAGGTGGATAGCGGCAAGGTGGGAGTTGGTGAGGAGTCGCTGCAAGTGGCGGTAGGATGGTTGTGAGAGTCGCTGGATGGAGCCGATGGGCAGGCCAGGTGAGTTGAGAAGGTGGGATAAATACCCCTAGTCCCCTCCAGCTACCTCCCCCTGCCCTCCCAATCCTTGATTGCCTCTTCCCACCCAGCCTCCATTCGCACGAGACCTAATCTCGTGCAGAACCCTCTCCCTTTTCCCATTCCCCTTAACCTCTTTAACCCACCTCCCCCTTTTCCCCCAGCTCCGTACCTGCTTTTCCTACACGGACTCTCTGACTCCCGCCTCTACAGCTTGGTCTCCCACCCCTCTCATAAGTTACTGCGGCTGCTTTCCCTCCTTTCCCTCCCCTCCCCTCCCCTTTACTCTGCGCCTGCTTCTCCGACACCCACGCCTGGCCCACCACAGACTAGCGCCCGCCCCTACACTACACTTTCCCACATCCTTCTGATAAGCCACTGCACTGTTTACTCATGTCTGCCCCACGTCTGCCCCACTGCACGAACATGCCTCCCACAGCGCTGGCGCACTGTTCACCAAGGCACTATCGCTTCCCCTCACCCATACCCTCTTCCGCCCCAACCCCCCCTTCCCCACCCCTCCCAGCTCCGCACCTCCTTCTCCTACCCCAGTGACTTCCCTGCGGATTTCGCCCCTTTGATGCGGCCACACTGCTCACCCGCTTACTCTCCCCACTCTTACCTCCAGCTCCACACCTGCTTCTCCCACGCCAGCGGTTGCCCCACTGCTCACCCCACGGATTTTATGTCCCCGCGGTGGCGCCGCACTGCTCTCAACCAGGCACTGTCCCTTCCTCTCCCGTTTCCACCTCTCGTCACCGTTCTCCCGTCTTCCCACCAGCTCCACACCGTTCCTCCTTTGTTCCTGGCCATCAATTCCTGCCCCTGTTGCTCCGCACAGGCGCACTCTTTACAGGGAAGCCTTGCCAGGCTGTAACGCACCTTCCCTTCAACACCCATTACCCTTCCCCCTCCACCCCTCCCTCCACCAGCTCCACACCTGCTTCTCCCACACCGACTTCTGGCGGACGGTTCACGCATTCACGTGCCTACGGTGCGGACGCACTGACGTGACGGACGCGCGGGAGAGGCTGCAGGCAAAGCTGGGCCAGACTGCCGGGTTCCCCGTGGCCGTGTTCTCAGGTCACCGCGGGCCGCTCTCAGGTGACATTCAGGTTGGGTAGCTTTGTTTCAAGCCCGTGAAAGCCTGGAGGTTGAATTGCCAGAGGCTGAATGCATTGCAGGCGTGTTTTCAAGGTGCTCGATCTAGCCTCGACTTTGTGTATGTATCCCACACCGACTTATGACCCTCTGACATCTGCCCCTACTGCATAAGCACGTTCCCCTCCAATTCTCCATGCTCCTGACCCACTTGCCCCCCTTCTCCCCCTTCCGCTTCCAGCTTCTCCGCACCTGCGTCACCCACACAAGCTCAGAGACTCACATCCCTACGGCACTATGTCCCACATCCCTCTTCCACAGCTCAGCATCTGTTTCTCTACTTCTGTCCCACACACAGTTCGCTCCCCTACGGCACTGTCTTTCACATCCCTCTCATAAGTCACCGTCCCTTTCCCTTCCTTTCCCCTTCTCCCCCCTCCCTCCCACATCTGCACCACCTGCTTCTCTTACACCCACGTCTGTTCCACTGCACGGACTCGGCCCCCCACGGTGCAGTCGCACTTCACCAAGGCACCATCCCCTCCCCATACCCTCTCCCTTTCCCGCCCTTCCCTACCCCTCCCAGCTCCGCACCTGCTTCTCCCACGCCAGCGGCTGCCTCACGGATTCCTGCCCCTATGGTGTGGCTGCACTGCCCTCACCCAGGCATTGTCACTCCCTCTCACCCTCCCAACTCCTTTCACCCTTACCCCATTGTATCACCAGCCCCGCACCGCACCTGCGTCTCCCGCACAGGTTCCTTTCCTGGCCCGAGATTCTCGCCCCTGTTCAACCTGGCATGCCGAGGCTGCTGACGTGGCGGAGGTTGGCGAGAGGCCTTGGCGGCGTAAACGGCGTTGGCGGCAGCAGTGGCAGGGCCGGGGAGCACGGGGAGGTGGGCGCGAAGGGGGGCGAAGGGGTGGTGAAAGGGGGCTACTGATGGGGCTGGCGGGTAGTTCACAAGCTCGAATTTTCTAAGGTGAGACGCCTTGACGGGTGGAGACGCGTGTGAGATTAACTTGGGGGAAGGGGGAGCTGAAGCAAGGGGGGTTGAAGAAAATGGTGGGAGACCGAAGTGGGGAGAGGGGGGTTGAAGTTGATGTGTGTGAGATGCTGTGAGCATTCGCTGTGGGGAGGGCCCTCCTTACAAGGCATTCGCTGTGGGGAGGGCCCTCCTTACAAGGCATTCGCTGTGGGGAGGGCCCTCCTTACAAGGCATTCGCTGTGGGGAGGGCCCTCCTTACAAGGCATTCGCTGTGGGGAGGGCCCTCCTTACAAGGCATTCGCTGTGGGGAGGGCCCTCCTTACAAGGCATTCGCTGTGGGGAGGGCCCTCCTTACAAGGCATTCGCTGTGGGGAGGGCCCTCCTTACAAGGCATTCGCTGTGGGGAGGGCCCTCCTTACAAGGCATTCGCTTTGAGATGTATGTTCGAGTTACTCAAAGGACTTGGAGGGGCTGCTGCCGAAGGCAGGGCAGCGGATGGGGCTGGCGGGGGCTATCGAGGATGCGTTGTATCTCCGCAGGGAGTTTTAGAGGATTGTCCACAGCACCCTTCAACTCTCCCTTCCCACCCACCCATGCACGATTCCCCTTTCCCAACCCTCACCTCATCTCTTACCCATCCAGCTCTGCTCCGCTCCTGCTTGCTGTTCCCATGCCCTCCTCGCACTCACTTGCACAGCCACACTGCTTGTCCAGGCACCATCTCAGGACTGTCTTAAACCTATCCCTTCTTGTTACCTTCACGCACTCCCCTTTCGCTTGTCCCTTCCCCATCCGTTTCCCCTTCTCCTTTCTGCTTCTCATTCCGCCCTCAACCCCATACGCTACCCCTCCCAACCCCTCTCGCACCCCTCCCCTGATCCCAATTGTCTGCCCCGTCTTGCGACTCGACCTCGGCCCAGTGCCCCGTCTTGCGACTCGACCTCGTCGAATCTACGTGGGCCTATTAAAATGGCTGGGCCTGCAATGTGCGTGCGCAGGCATCACCACAGGGGTCAAGCCGGACAATGACCTCGCCTCGCCTTGCCTCGCCTCGCTGGAATGATGCCTCACACCCGCTGTTGCACCACTGCCGGCGGCGCTGCTGCCGGAAGCGTAATGATTGCCACCCCAGCTGTGCGTCTGTATCTCCTACACCCCCACTTGTCGCCTGCTTGCCCAAACCCTCCCATGGCGCCGCTCCCTTCCCTCCTTCCCTGCTCTCTCCCTCTCCAATCCCCTCCCACTCCCCCCTCAACTCCCTCCCTCACCCCTTCCCCACTCACTCCTTCCTAGCTGGCTTCATTTCATTCTCTCTTGAGGATTATCACATGTGATACAAGCATCACGCTGCTCCTTTTCCCTCCTTTCCCCGCCCCTCCCGCGCTTTCCAGCTCCGCACCTGCTTCCACACCCACTCCCGCCCCACGGATTCCCGCCACTACAGCACGAGCACACTGTTCACAGGCAACCTGTGGCCTTGTGGGCTGCTGAGTGCACGCCGTGCCAAAATAATTTCTCTTCAACACACCTTACCGCCGAAGTTCAATGGTACTGTTCATCGCTGGCTGGGTGCAAGTGGGCTAATCGTGGGTCACCAGTGGGTCACTACTGGGTCAGTGGAAGGTCACTCTTAGCTCACTCTCGAATCATTTTTTGTTCCCCCATCCCCTTCCCCTTACACTCCCCCATCCCCGTCCTTTTCTCCAGTCCCATCATCCACTTCTCCATCCCCTCCTCCATCCCCTCCTCCATCCCCTCCTCCAACCCCTCCTCCATCCCCTTCTCCATCAACGTCCATTCCCCTTCTCCACCAACGTCCCCTTCCCCATCCCCAACCCCATTTCCATCCCCCACTTCCGCAGGTGTGCATAGTGCAGCCAGCAGCAGCTCCAACCCGCCCTGCTGTCTCCCTCTCTCTCCCTCCGGCAGGGAATGGATGCTACAGTTGTGAATAGTCCAGCCAGTAGCATCCGTTCCCTGCCGCCTCTACACTCGCACACCCATCAGCGATCACTCATCTCTATCGAATCAGGTCGGTGCTCTCATTTGCCTCGTGTGGCGCCACCACTGCCCTTTGCACCCCATTGTCTCTTGTCTCAACCATTTAATGTGGAGGAGACAGTCCCATGATTGCATCATCTCATCACATCACACTAATACCCTACCCCATGATCCCAGCACACTACTCAAATGCTCCATAACCCTATCTCGTCCACTACATCACCCGATTGAGCCATCGCCGCAAATCAGTGTCACATCCGCCTAGTGCCAGTGGTCTAGTGGTAGAATAGCACCCTGCCATCAGCACGGTGCAGACCCGGGTTCGATTCCCGGCTGGCACATAACCGGTCTCTTGCTTTTGCCGTGAATTGGACCATCCCATTGGACGCCCAACAAAGCCCAGCCATCAACCGCCTGATAGCAGTCCCCCTGTGCATTGGCTTCGGCCCTCACTACAATGGTTGGTGTTAAATAGCTTCGGCAGGTCACTGCCTGCCCTGCCCGTGCATGTGCCCACCTCCCGTGGTTGCATGAGGCACAAGCTACGAAGCAGGAGCTAGGTAGGAGAAAGGAGACTCATATTCGTGCATCTTCATGTTCCTCCCTTTTGAAGGGCCTCAACAATTGAACCAAGGAGCCAGGAGACCCGCCCATACTTATGCACTTTCATGTTCCTCGCTCTCTCCACCTACTCTCAACCCCACTGCCCAACCCTCCCCACCTCTTTCACCGCAGCCTGCAGCTCCTTTCTCCCGGCCTTGCCCATACTCGTTCCGCCCTCCCTCCCCTGCATCAATCCACCCCTCCCACCAACCCACACCTTTCCAGCTCTCCCGCCCACCATGGCAGGGCGCCACAGCATGAGCCTCTCCCCTCCTAGCTTTCCCCCTGTCATTGCTCTCCTCGTTGTTTCTTCCTCCTTCCCTACCCACCATTCCACCATCCAAAGCCCCACACCTTTCCACCTCTGGCATGCTATGGTGTGATGTGCACTGCAGCTCTCTCCACCCTCCCTTGGATAAGCATGTTCGTTGCTGCCCCTCCCCTTTATCCCCCCCTCACTCGCCCCACTCCCGTTCATTCTTCCACATGTGCCAGCGCATCATGGTGGGGTGCTCCAGATTGCATCTTCCCCTGTGCATCAAGACATACGTGGCAGCGCATAGGGCGACGCCCATCCTTCGCATCCCAATATTCCTTGTCATCAAAATCCCTTGACACGTTTTCTTGTCAGAAGCTGCCCTACTGAAATCATCTTTGTGACTTAGCAGCATACCCAAGCTCCCCACCCGCCGCAACCCTACTCTCCACGTTGCTCCAACAGCCCATATTCTGCAGCCACAGGGCCAAGTTCACTTGTCGCATCACACCGCCTCTTTCTCGGCCACAGCATAAGGTAGCTTCTCCGGCACTGTGCTCTGCTCTTCATCATCATCCTCGCCCTTCGCAGCAGCAAGGAGCTGCCGTCACTCGACGAGACCTCGCCACTTGGCAGACGCCGATACGTGCTCGAGTCGAGTGGATCCTGCTGAGCTGAGCAGTAGTCTACTGCTGCGCAAGAGTGTCTCTCAAGAGTGGCGGCCGGCACGTTCCCTTCGTTCTTGCCCAAGGATGCTACCGCATGTCACCATTTCTCATGACACATTTCCTTTCAAGTAGCACCTGCTGGTTGTCAGTTCCACTACGAACTCAATGTGTGTCTTGGTTCCATCTCCTGTCCCAAGGAGCTATGTTTGGCCCACGTGTCCCACCGGCACAGCACCAACTTTTGCGCCAAGCATATATAAATAAGTCAAAACGGTACTTGCATGCATGTTCATTAGCCTCCACTGTCAATGGATATGGGTAAAATGGCACAATCACACCACAGCACGGTATAAGTAGAGTTGGCCTGACAACGCAGAGGCCTGCCTAGGTGGGTTGAAATGGCATGGTTGGGATGAAAGGGCATGGGTGGGATGAAAGGGCATGGGTGGGATGAAAGGGCATGGGTGGGTTGAAAGGGCATGGGTGGGTGGAAAGGGCATGGATGGGATGAAAAGGCATGGGTGGGATGATGGGATAAAAAGGCATGGGTGGGATGAAAAAGGCATTGGTGGGATGAAAATAGAATGGGTGGGATGAAAAAGAAACGGGTGGAATGAAAAGGCATGGGTGGTATGAAAAGGCATGGTTGGGATGAGACGGCATGGGTGGGGTGAAAAGGCATGGGTGGGATGAGAAGGCATGGGTGGGATGAGAAGGCATGGGTGGGATGAGAAGGCATGGGTGGGATGGAAAATGCAGAAGCACAGGGAAGGAGCAGACGAAACAATGGGAGTTGGAGGGCATTGTGGAGGAGAGGCTTGAAGCTGATGGTGAACGGCAAAACCAGGAGTGACAAGAGCGGGACCATGAATTCTTTGGTGGAAATGACAGGAATGGGGGGGTACGAGTGGAGTGGGGATACGAGCGGAGTGGGTGGTATGACAGGAGTGGGGGGTATGAGGGGATTAGGGCGTGTGAGGGGAATGGGGGTTGTGAGGGGAGTGGTGGGCATTTATAGAATGGGGGATCCGAGAGGATTGGGGGTTATGAGGGCATGAGAGGAGTGGGGAGAATGAGAAGAGAGGGAGGCATTAGAGAAGTGATGGGTATGAGGAGAGTGAATTGGGAGAGTGATGGGTGGGGTGGGGAGGGTATGAGAGGGACTGGGGGCATGAGGTAAGTGGGGGCTAAGAGAGGAGAAGAGAGGAGTAGGGGTTATGAGAATCGTGAGGGATAAAAGAGGAGGGGGGAAGATGAGAGGAGGGTGGGAGATGAGAGGAATGGGGGTATTAGAGTGATTTTAACTGTTTTCATAACTGTAGCGTATTCAGGCTCTCCAGCCCATGAGACCCATGAAGTTTAGACGGATTCTGGTGGGAAAGGAGCGAGTATAGAGGGGTGAAGAAGAGAAGGAGGGCTGCATGAATCAAGATTGCAAAGAGGGCATTGGGGATTGGAAGGATGGTTTGGACATTGCAGAGAAGATGCTATGGCTGTCATACGTGGAACTGTTTTTTGTTCGTTTTCCCCTCACCCGAATACTAACCAGATGTAAGGGGTCAGGGCACAGTCGTTTGATGCACCGCCACTCATGTATGCTAGATGGTGTTTATGTATGCTGTGGTGCATGCATGGACGCGCTTGACCATGCAAGAAATTGCACATGACAGAATCATGATTGTCACGTATCCGTAGCTTTGAGCATGTGCATATGGCAAGGCCTGAATGTTCTTCCCCCTCGCAAGACTGCAACCAAGTGAGGTGGCTTCAGCTGAAAGGGCACAGCATGCTGGTAATGCTGCACAATGGGGAGGAAAGCAGGGGTGATAAAATCAGGGCGACAGTATGGGAAGGTGGTTCAGAGAAAGAGAGAGAGAAATTGGGTGCAGTATCATTAGCCGTGGTTACCCTTTTTTTATTTACAGCAATGCCAGGGAAGCAACTCTCACCCGAACTTTCTTCCCCCTCCCCTTTCTTCTTGCCCTCTCCCCACCCAAACCCTTCCCCCGTGTCCCAACCTTTCCTCCCCCGTGTCCCAACCTTTCCTCCCCCGCTCTCCGCTCAAACCCCTCTTCCCCCCATTTGCTTATCTCCCCTTCCTTGCACACTGTTGCTTTTCAAGGGTGCCTTTACCAGAATCTCTCTTGATTCCAACCCCCTGACACCGCCACTCATTACCTCTACTCTATCACCTCTCCTTGTATGACATTCTCAATCCTCATCCATCATAATCTCATACCATATATTTCATGTTTCCCCATATTTCCCAGCATTGGTCCAGCATCACGTTTCAACCACTTACACAGCCTCAATGCAGCCACCTGTTTGTTTCTACATCAGCTACCCCAATTCTGAGCACGGATCTGAATGAATGTCAGGTGGTGGAGAGTGTTGATGGCCGCAGGTAGCTCTGTGAGGCAACAGGTGCCCATGTTCAGCTGCCTAGCCCCATCAATGCCTCACATTCCACCAGATTGTTCACACTGCAGACGTGCGTGAGTGTCAAGGTGCAGAGGTGGGGAAGCCTTGTAACCGAGGACAGAGACTTCTCGACGTCTTCTCCCAGCACCAGCTCCAGGTACTCCACACCAGAGAGGTGGTCACTTACGGCCTCAAGACATGCTGCACCTACATCGGTCCCTGAGCTCTGTGAGTGCTGAAATGTCTGGCAGAGGCGCCCCTGGCTGAATGTTCTTGTAGGATAGAGCCTGGAGAGTGAGTGGCAGAGCCTGAGGGGCTTCGTTCAGCTGACATCCCCTCAGCTCCAAGTGCGTGAGCCTGGAAAGGCTGCCCAGCTTTGTGGGTACCGACAAGACATGAACGCTTTCTTGAACCCTCAACAACTGAAGGCTAACGAGCGCCGTCACGGATTCCGGAAGCTTCTTGAAGAAAGGGCTCTTTTGAATGTAAAGCTCCTGCACTTTTGTCATCTCCGCCATGCCCACTGGCAGATCCAGCACTGGTCCAGCTACAACCTGGTCAGCAACGCCAGCTGCACGAATAAGGACGGCAGCTGCTTGTGGCTGCTTTCTGTGAGATGAAAGGCCTGGAGATTGGTGAGGCCGCCCAAGTTTCCTGAGGTCCAGGGTGGGCGAACATGCGAGGCTCAGAGTCTCGAGTGCTGTGAGGCGGCCAAACCCTGCAGGTAGATGCGAGTCTGGTGAAGGAATCAGGGAGACGGTGCAGTGGCAGTTCGGGCAGCACCAGAGCTTTCAAGGAGGGAAGATTCCCAAAGCTCTCGGGCAGAGTGGACACGTTGCATGTGGAAATCGTGAAGCTTTTCGGGCAGGGGGGCTTACGGTATGTCATACAGAGGAGCCTGGTAGCTTCACTGTTAGACACACCCATTGTTTTTAGTGGATCTGAATTAAGACCCTAGTGTGGCTTATCTGAGGGATGGCAGATTATAGGTATGAATGCCTTCACACGGTTTGTCACAGTTTCCTAGAATACCACGTCTGAAACAATGAACTGTAAACAAGGGTAAGGAAAACCTCTGAACATATGAGTGCTAACAGAAGAGGAATACTAAAAGCCAGATCTCATGCCACATCCCATGCATAAATAAAGCGAACACAGATGACATGGATCTAAACCAAGCCCATGGACCAAACGATGCTTCGGTGATGCTTCAAATATAAATTTCACCTCAGTTTTGATTTCACATATGCGTCAACCCTAAAATGCAATCACTATCCCTACCAAACCCTTTATCACTTCACACACTCCCATGTGTTAACGATGCAATGTACCCCATCTGTATCTGGCTCATAAGTGAAACTCGTAAGGTGCTTGAAACCCTACGACATGCTCATGCCCTGCCCGCCCTCATGCTTCGCACAAGGTCATCCAGGCCGGACACCTTTGCCCACTCTTGATAGTACCTTTGTTCCTCAACCTGTTACCCCTTTCCATTCTTCCATTCACTCCTGTTCCCATCCAATTTACACTCAAACTTAAGCAGCTCTATTCGCACACTCATGTTTCAATCGATTTCACAAGCAATTTGTTGCTTACTACTACGTGACAATGCAACACCAGCACGATGTGTTAAGAAAGGGTGTACAACGTCTGAAAAAACAAGCACCCTATAGGTTGTCTCCGCACCCAGCGTGTGCTGTAGGTCTATGACATGCTGGCCGCGGAGTCACTCTGCATGCCCTCGCGCTCTGCACGGGCCATTTCAGCAGTGAAGCCAGAGGAGCCAATGGAACTCCCAATCTCCTTATCGATGCGAGATATGGCCTCGCTCACATGTGCTCCGAAGGCTTCCTGCTTCAACTTCACCAGCTCTCCTAGCACTTGATTCATGGAGGGGCGGGAGGCCACAGGCATGGCGGTGCAGGAGAGGGCAAGGCGAGCCCAGCGCAGCACCAAGTCATCTGGTGCATCCAAGTCAGGGTCCTTGAAGACTGGCACGGCATCTGATTCCACAAACGGGGCAATCTGTTGGGTTGGATGGGAACACATCCATGTGGATTTACACCTGCCTGTTTGTTTCATTGCCATGCCAATGAGATGAGATTTGAAAACAGGTCGTGCAGTTGTTGCATCATAAAATCAGGAGATACATTCTATATCAAGCAGGTGTGGCTCACCCATTGCTTCAGGCTGATCTGGCTGGACTCGCTCACATGCACAGCCTTGCGTGCCGAGATGACCACCAGCATCACCACACCGAAGCTGCCAACACCCAGAAAGTGACACAAACAAGGGGACCGGAAATGAGGGTGACGAGGGGCAATTGAATGAGGCATTCCATGTGCACCACATACGATATATCCCTGTGCTCACCTATAGACATCTGCGGCTGCAGTGGCCTTGTGGGACTTGTAGTAGGCAGGGTCCACATAGCCCGGTGTTCCCATCACTCGAGTGGCAGCCACCGATGAGCCCATGGCGGTGCCCCCAGTGATTTTCACCAATCCAAAGTCTGCAATCTTGGCCTGAACAGCGATTGCAAGTGCATGGAGGCAAAAGCAAGATAGTTGATCAGATGCTGGAAGTGGGAACACACAAACTCAGATAAATCAGAAATAATGATGATTGCATGTGAGAAACAAAGTTTGCAACCTTGCCCTGATCAACAATCGGAAGTAGATGTAGGAAGAAAAAAGATACTGGGTATCACCAACATGTTTTCACCGAGTCCAAACTTGCTAGCAATAAGCTGGAGAACCAATACTTTGGTCAAAGAGAATGCAAGCAGAATTCAGAGTTCGACATACATGCAATTTTGCATCAAGAAGAATGTTGGCTGGCTTGATGTCGCGATGCACAATGCCAAAATCATGAAGATAATGCAACCCTTTTGCCACTCCAATCAGAATGTCGAGTCGTTGCAAAAATGAAAGGGGTCTTGGTGCACCTACAAAATAAGAGAGTAGAAGTCACTTAGCCATCCCAGAAGTTTATTAATTCACTTGGTTGGTTCCTTATAGACCATGATGTTGAGGTTTTATCACATACTCGCTGACGGAAAGAAGAGTCCCATATTTTTATATCCAAATGTGCAGGTTCCAATTGAAAGAGAGCTGGTTGGCGCAATCAAAAGCTATCAGGTATAGAGAAAAGTTAAGGTACCTGGGCCAATCCAGCTCTCCAGGTCCCGGTTTGCCATGAACTCATACACGAGTACTTGCTCCATGAGACTTGTAGCTGGGTCAAATTTCACACAGAAGCCCAACAGGCGCACCAGGTTAGGGTGGTGCTTGCTAGCCATCTCATTCACCTGCACGGCAAGATTGGGAAACAATTGGGAGAGAAAGAGAGGGGAGGAATAAGCATCTCTGCATGTGTATCTATGTGTGTGTGCACGCGCATGTGTGTGTATGTGTGTGGGGGGGTATGCGTGTGTGTCTCTGTTCGTGTGCATACGTACACAGAGTTCATTCAAAAACAGCATTGCTACATGAGTTATGGTGTGAATCTGGAAGCATCATCAGCACCGTGTGGTACCTCAGTGAGGAAGTCATTGGAGAGGACCCTGGATCGCTTCACAGCCCACATCTCATTGGGGTCATGCAGTGACGCGCCCTTGTACACATCTCCAAAGCTGCCGCTGCCAATCCTGTTCCCCTCTGCCCAGTCTCCTGTTGCGCGTGCGAGCTCTTCCAGAGAGAACTTCTGGCACACATGTGGCTTCACTGCCTCCACATCCACCATCACATCTATCTGATTCTCCCGTGCTGCTGCTCCCGCTGCCACAACCACCGCTGCTGCTGCTGCAGCAGCAGCTGCTGCTTCTGGGACCATCTCCTCTACCCTTGATGCTATGTTTGGAAAATCAAGTTCTGAGCCTGTGAGATGTTGTGAGGGAGGAAAGCAGGATTAAGATGAGAAAATATAAGAGAAAAAGGCTGGGAATGATGGAAGATTGGGACTTTCTTACATTGGAGTGCACTTTCTTTTGGGAGCTCCTTTTCGCCCACATCGATGCCATTAATGTCTCCTCCTGCTGTCCCTTTGGTGCGGCATCCCTTGCACAGCCGCCATGTCAGAAGCAGCAGCAGAACGAGGGCAGCCACACTCTCGGCAACAGCAATGCCAGCAATGGCGCCGTTGGCTGAGCCGCCCCCAGACTGGGAGGGAGTGGGCACTGCCGTTGCGGTGCATACAATGATGGAGTACGGAGATGGAGATATGGAATGGAGGAGGGAAGCACACATGCGGATGATGGCGGGGTTGGTGAAAGGGGATGCGGGATAAGGTACAGGTTGCAGAGGGAGAGGAGGTGAAGGAAGGCGTTGGAAGGTTGGAAAGACACGAGAAGGCATACAGCAGGCGTACTATGCGTCCGAGATTGGGTTTGTGAGGAGTAGCTAAAGCGGTGTGGATACCTAGCATTGGAGAAGTTTGTGCGGTAGGTGGCGATTTAGTGCTTATGCACTCAGCGCTAATGGGAGCAAAGTAAATGTACACCGCATGTACATTGAGATTGCATAAAGAGATTACATCTCACTCACTTGGTCGTGGCTTGTCGCACGTGGTGCAGAAGGAGTGGCACAGTCTGCAGAAACTACTTGACGTGGTCTGTGGAACCACGCAGCTGCTGTAGTCAGGAGAGCATGTGATTGCAGTCCCAGATATGCCCCTGCATGTGCACATAGGGCATTATCAAACTATGAAGCACGAGTGCATTTCATGACAAATGTGACTAGACATGAACCTCACTCGAATTGGTTCGACCACCCGCCAAACCAAATCTCTATGTCCACAAAAATAGTTCGGTCAAACTTTGTAACTGTTCGGTTGAACAGTTTGGATTAACTGGTTTGCTCATGCCGTGTTGAATTCGAAGATTTCAGCGCAGCAAATTGGTCACGACAAACAAGGCCATTAAAATCCCCTCGCCACCAACCCGTATTTCACCCATGAAAAAACAGGATTGTGTTAGGGTTGGCTGTCATCATCTCCCAGCTGCAGATCTAATTAGAATCCATAGTATCCATGTACCACTACTATTTAGAGCACACCTATCCCTCATTATAAGCTGAGTTTAATGCTAATGCTTCTATTATAGGGCTGTTTTAGAGGCATTTTGGGGCACACCGTTTTTGGTCAAGTATATGATTAGGGCAGAATATCAGCTGACTCAAGAGTTATGACCACAGTAGGCCAGCCTGGTGATGGGGCTGTGAGAGAGGCCTGATAGGGGCCTGCCTTGGGTGGGCCGCATGGTGCTCCCACTACCCCACCACTGGCCAGATTAGAGGCCTGTCGTTGCTTCTGCCAGGTTCAATTCATACTTTAAGGGTGAGCACTCAGTTTAGAGGAAAGCAGGAGCCATCCTGTGAAGAAGCCCGTGCATGGGATTGACATTCTAGATGGAGGGGCGAGTGGGGCTGAGGAGGAGGACGACGACGAGCATGTGGAGTACAGCGTGGAGTGGGGGAGTGAGGAGGACTCGAATGGCTTGGGTGGTGGGGACGAAAGCGAGCCCGTGTACGGGAGAGAGGTGAGCAAGCGGTGGAACAGGGTCGTGGTGCCAGACGTGCATATGTGGACGAGCTTAGACCCTGGCTAGCACTCATGCTGAGCGTGCACCTGGTATGGCCGGCAGTGTTGATTGGCCTTTTTGCAGGCAGTGGCCACACTGACCTATGGAAGGGGATGAATGGAGCGGTTTGTGGGCCAGAGAATGGGCTTGCAGACCTGGCGGCAGGCACTTGACAAGCTTGTTTTGACCGTCAACGTGCCGCATGGTGGAGATGGAAGCGGTGAGTTTATTACAACTCTGACTCCCCATCCATTATTTTCGAGTTGCCTTGCGCACGAGCTTGTGTGCCCACACCCACAATCTAGTGGACAAAAATCCCGTGTTAGAAAGCATCTCCGTAGTTGTGTTTTGCACATCCTTTTTCTGCCCACACACATCCGCGAGCTGATGAACGGTCTTGCTGGATGGTGGCTCGCAACGTGGTTGTGTTCATGGATCGTGCCTGAGGAGGCATTGGCCGAGTTAACAGCGTCGTTAGGGTAGCCGGGGTAGTGCAAGAAAAGGGTTTTGATTTCCACCGACATCTGGACAAGGCCTATTCGGTGGTCAGATGTCGAGTGAAGATCAATACTCTAGGCCTATCCACCAACATCTGGAGACGTTTCCACCCAGTGGGAGCTGTGCGAGGTGATGCTGGATTTACGCATGATGACGAGAGGTCATGAGGGGGAGGAGATTGCGGACTTGGTGCTGGAGGTGGTGCAGGATTGAGGGGTGGAGACAGGCATGAGCATGATTCCGAACCTGGTTTGACCCGGGGCGAACCAGTCCGGTTTCTCCTAGGCCGAGCCTTGAAAATAAGCAGTCGGCTCGGGGCAGGCCGAACATGGGCCGGCCCGCCAAAACGCAAAGGTATGGATCCGGCCCGCCTGGAAAAAAGTAGGCACCCTTATTGCGCGCGACCATTTCGGCCCATGGGATTGGACTATGCTTTTGATGCCAATCTTAGTGCTTGCCGGACTCGAATGGCCCGGTCGGGCGAAAAAAACGTTTGTCTGAACCTTTGGCCGCCCTTGTAATAGGCGGGGAACAGCCTGTCCGGCCCAGGGCGCCCCGAACCTGGTTCGGTCCGCCTTCTTCACTGGCCCCAACCCGTTTGACCTGGGCTGAACTGACCCGACAGATGCTCGTGTCATGCCTATTGCAGGGGCGCTGTGTCGCATCCATGACGGAGAACGCTGCCACCAACACAAGAGCTTACTGAATTCTCACGGGTGGTAGTGGGTCTCATGTTTTTATCATGCTTTGGATGACTACGGGTGGTAGTGGGTCTCATGTTTTTATCATGCTTTGGATGACTTTGCCTTAAGCTGTGGCGTTGCATTGTGGCATAGATTCCGAAGTTCTTGTGATCCAGACATAGGTTCACATCCCATGTGCTTAACTTGTTGGCCGAGTCAATGCTGGATGTGCCAACTGTGTGTTTACCACTTTGTTTTCTGCAGACATCGCCTTCTTTCTAGGTTAATCCCCTATTTTCTCAGGTAGATTCATGGCAGATCAGGCAGGTGTACCATGGGGAGGGGTTGCTGAAGCTGGTGCATGATGGCCCAATGCGATGAGGGTCGACTTACAAGATCGTGACGCGCGCACTTCAGCTGCGCAGGGCGATCACAGTGCATTTCTACCAGGACCAGTTATGAATCCGCATGTGCGATTCAAATTATGTGGCCCATGCTAACGATGCATCTATGCTCGTCGTGTTGTAATGCGTTCGTTCACGCATGCCCCGACCCACCATTCCATTCCCCTTGCACAGGGCAGGATGCGTCCTGTGAGAACGTTCCAGCACGCTTGTCTCACTGATGCTTGATGGGAGGAGCTGGAGACGTTGAAGGGGTATCTTTCCCCCATCAACGCGGTCATCAAAGTGGTAAATGTTGGTGCAACCCTACGGTTTGCACTCGGCTTGTTGTCCGTATGCGTGCATGCGTGTGTGCATGGAATGGAATGAGAGCATGAAATAATATATATTTCATGCTTATAATAGTGTATGCATGATGAGTTATGTTGTGGAGTGTGTGTGTCAAGTTAATAGCGAATTATTGCTAGCCGCGTGTAATGCGGTCATTTTGTGTATCCCGCGCGGTTTCTATTTTGTCGTGCGCGGTTTCTATTTTGTCGCTTGTCGACCGTTCGGCGTGTCGCAGGTGTGTGCAGCAGACCCATCAAGAAATCAAGGATGAGCTTGTGACCAAGAACCCGAGCCTTAGTTTCAAGCTTCAAGTGATTTCGAAGCTCGCCAAAAGGGTACACCTCAAGATATTGAAGATAGTTACATTACTTTGTGTAGTGTAACATTTCACTTGGTGTAGGCCCTAGTGAAGGGTAGTTTCGAGACCCTTCGTGGTTGGGGACAGTGTGGCACTGTTCTACATCACTGTACCTCGGCTCTTGAGGTTTGTAGGAGCTGGGAGACATTCCCAACTCGTAACTCTTCCCAACTCTTCCTATCTTGTGTTCTAAGACTATAGTGGCTGCCATAGTGCCGTTCGTTCAAACCGACGCTGTGTCGTCAATACTTAGTGAAATCGTGCGATCTAAATTGCCTATTGTAGGCAACAGTATGACGCTCCAGATCCAAGTTGAATCAGGTCATTTAAAGCTGTGCCACAATGCTATGAACGTTTGAAGCCGCTATGCGGAAATCCGACTGTGCACTCTATCTTTCGTTTTAGGCACATTGGAGCCTGTTGTGACTATAACAGTAAAGGGGTCATTCCAACCTGCAATGACCTCCTCGACAGAATCAAAATCGGGTGCCTTGACAGACCGTCTACGCCACTGATGGCGATGACAATTGCTGTGCTGGGCTATTAATAGCCGCACACCTATCTATGAGTGAGGAATACTTCGTTCTTGGCACCTGAGACAGAGCGCCCGGAGTTGGTTCGCCAGGAACTGGAGGGGCGGGCGACGGGTCCGGTGATGGTGGAGGAGATTGGGCTTGGAGGCGTACCAGGTGCGGGCAGCAGAGATGGCACCTGCGCCTCCACCCGTTCGAGCGGTGACAGCGCTTGTCATCGACCTTGAAGCCGATGAGCACATCAGCAGTAGGCGACACTTGATGGCACGAGTTAGCATTTCGGGCTGCGGGGGGGTCTAGGCCCTTGCATGACGAGGTGGACAGAGGCACCAACTTGACAGACATACCACCTCTCGAGTTCAGGCAACACTGTGAAAAACTCGATACGCTGAGAGAGATGGCGATGGATTACTTGGTAATCCCTGCCACCTCTGCAGCATGCAAGCGTAGTATCCGGCAGAGTAGAAAGTGCATGCATGTATGACCCTCATGTCATGGTATGCAACACACCCCAGTGCTCGGATCTGCTATGGAGCAGAGTCGGTCTGTGCAACGCATGCACTAGACCTGTGACTGGGGCAGGTGGATTGCGAAAAGGAGGAAGATGGGAGGTGACTTGGGCAGTAGCTGGGGGGGTGGTCATGGGCCAGTGTGATGGTGGTGTAGCTTGTGATTTTAAGCTTGTTCATCGTGCACATACTTGCATTGGCCGTTTTCTGTACGTGGACTTATGGGTAGAATTTTTGGACCTACTAATTGTGATGTTAATGTTTATCTAGACTTCGTTGATTGATGCTACTTCATTGTGCTGTCTCATGTTTGTGTTCACAAATCTTGTTATTCAAATACCGGCTAACATGTTTACCATACAAAGACTGCCCTGCTACAAGATTGGATTATGTGGTGCTCACAAAAGAAAATGCCACACCAAACAAGGTTTCCCTGCTACAGTTCACCCAGGAAACAGCTAT